ACAGTCTTTAGCATAGAAAAATTAAAAAAATAGAAGAAAATTATTTTTTAGACAATAGATTTTTTTTAATCTAATTTTCATTTTCCCATGTTTGGAGCATCCCTTACTGCTCATGACCTGCTGCGTATCATCCAGATAAAAACAGTAATTGCACAGAGATATAGGCACTTTGCACAGTAATGCCTTAAACAAACAAATGAAATGACTGCTTTCTGAAGAAGTTTGATTTTTTTTTTTTCTTCTGAAGAGCACTGTATTTCTCGCCTTGCAGGCTTTATACCAGTTGGTGATGCAGAATCTCTTCGTATGAATCTCTTCTTTCCTTTCTCTTCTGTCCCTTTGCTTAGCCTCAGCCCTCTCTGCCCTTCCCTACTTCTTCATCCTTTGAGCGCAGAGAGACTCTATTTCTGCTTGCGCAGGCTCCACGCCAAGCCCTAGGATAGAAATAGCTGGTACAGAATCTACAAACCTCTTCTTCCTTCCTTCCTCTGACTGATTCCCATCTTTTATTTCCCTTGCCCTGCTATCTTCGTGCTTCTAGCAAGCAGCTTTTGTGCCTTAGCCTTTCTGCCCTGCCCCAAAAGGGCTCCCCTGGAGCTGCTCTCTTCCCCGCCCCCGCCCCCCCCGCAGGCAGCCCCTACTTCTTGGCAATGGCAGCAAGCTGGCCTCAGGGCAGGGGATTTGGAGAGGCCAAGTAGCTCAGGTGGGCTTGAGGATGTGCTAATGAGCAGCACATGTTACTGGTGAGCGCCCCTATTTACAGAGGCTTGGAAGGGAGAAAAACCTAAGATGGGGGAGGAAGAAAATGCAGTGAAAGACACCATCTCTTCTTCTATAGTCTGCTTATATGTGAAATTCACTTTCTGTGTGGTGAGGGATATTTATATTGTATTTTAATTGCCTGGAAGCCCTATGGTGCTTTGTTGGTGTGAGCTTTCTTGCTTTGCAGGGTTGTGCTGGTGGTGACCTGGTCCCTGCAGGCAGGTGCTGCTCTGGGGGGGCTTCTCCCCATGCTGGTGTGGTCACTTTCTGTAAATGGCTTCCTGAACAGTCAGGGTATGTGCTTCAGCAGTGGTGACCTGGAGATGCCAGCTCACCACCCCCTGTTAGAGGTGCTGTGTGTGAGCGGATGTTTTGTTGAGGGATGTAGTGATGAGTGAAACTTGGACACACAGGTGGGGAAACGAGGGGTCTGCTGGGTGGGTGGCCTGGCAGTGAGGTGAGGCTCCTGTGCAGAAGCAGATTTGTTAGTGACTTCAGTTTCCTTCAATTAGCTTATTCTGCTCCAGAGTGAAGGAAACAGAGCTTATAATGACATCAAAACACTGCTGAAGGAACCGTTTTCCTTTAGGCTCAGCAAAGCTTTTGTCTCCAGCTCAGAAGAGGCATGCCAGCAGTCACAGGGCCTGCTGGTTTTGGGGAGGGAGCAGCAGGGCAATGCTGAGGCAGGGTGGAGGGGCCTGGCAGTGCTCTCTCAGGGAGCAGGTTGTTGCCCACAGCTGACTTAACCCCTGGGGATCTTTGTCTGCTGTTCTCCAGGCTTTGCTGGAGAGGCTGCTGAAGGCAGGGATGTCTGCCCTGATTATGGGGTGTGCTTGGCCTGACAGTGTTAATTGTGATTAGCCCAGTCAGATGCTTGGCAGCCGCCCACCATGAAGCCAAGTGCGAGGGCTGGGCTGCAGCCAGGAGGCCATGCCCCAGGCGAACGCCTTCCTTCCCAATGCCTGCTGTACGACCCTTGGGGAGCGAGGTGAGAGACCTTGCTTAAGGGCTTTTAAGAGGCATGTCTGCGGGGAACAGCCAGCGATGGGTCCCTTCGGTCTGATGGCGGCATGGGGCAGGGAGGAGGCTGTCACCTGCTTCTGTGTTTTGGTGGCAGCAGATGCTGCCTCACAGGGAGCGCTGGCAGGGACCCATGCTGCCAAAATCCCCCCAAGGTGTTGCACTCTTGTCTCCCACCCAAAGTAGAGGCCCAGTGGGTCAAGGGCAGCATGGTGGCAGCAGCCAAGGCGGTGTCCCTGCACCACTGCTCCGCGGGCGACAGAGCAAATGGCGATCCTGCCGGAGCAGATGCAGATCACTGTTCTCCGCTTGGAATTGAAATTTCTGAGCTTTGCATTGATGTTTTTATTTTCATAATCGCCTCGGCTTTCCCACAGCATTTATGTACAGCAGCAGGAGACCATTACCCTGGGATAATGCTCAATCCTGCTGACATTATCTGCCTCTCAGTGGAAACATGGGGGATCTCTGCCAGCCCCTCCTGGCTGGGTGGCCAACCCTTGGTTAGGGGGAATGGCTGCAAAAAAATAAAGCCCTCTTCTATTAAAAAGTTTATCCATCCAGCAATTTGCAATTTTAATATGAAAAATTACCTTGGATATTTTAAACCACTGGCAGTTGAAATTGTTTGGTGTTGTTTTTTTTTTTTCTTTTTGAAGTTGGATAAATGGTTGGTAAGTGCCATCCCCTCCTTTAAGAACTCACTAAAAAAACCAGCATGATTTGATTTGTTTGTACAGCGAAAAGATTGTTCTTTAATCCCTTTGGAGTTGTTGGATTTGATACTCCTGCTAGTCGAACTAATGAAAAATCCTCTGGCAGGATGTGTCAGGAAAGCCAGAGACATCCATCCCCTCACCGCATTGCCTCTCTTGAAGGCGGTGGGTATCTTGAAAACAGCAGAGGAAAGAACGCAACTCCTGCATCCCTTTGTGAAACACGGTAGCTGTGTTCCATGCTGGAAAGCAGCACAGGGATGGAAGTCTTGTTGTATTTGATATAAAATTGGGCCCAATTATCAAACAGGAGATATAGGAGGATTCAGGGGAAAAAACAAAACAAATGGATAAAAAAACCTTAAACAACACTACCCAATAATCAAGTAGTTTATTTTTTTTTCCTCAGTTAGATCAGTGAAATCTACTATTTTAAAAATAATTAATGTAATATTTGTGTTATAATCCTAGGTATTCCAAATAGCAATTAATTCTTTAATGAATATGAATGATTAATTTGGTACATAAACTGTATGAAATAATACAGAAATTAAATCAGGCATGTTGCACCTGACTGGGGAGGAGGAAGGAAGCTGCCATAAAGGAAGAGAGCAGTTTGAGGCTTCACACCAGTTCCACAATTAAAATTAAACAAAAATAGGCCAACTGGATCTTAAGTGGGGCTAAACGGAACCCCTCTTGGGCTCAGCTCAGTTGCTGAAGCTCAGTTACCTACTGCAGTGTGAGATGCCCTCCAATGCTGGAGACATCCCCGTGGGGCTGGATGGAGTTAACACAGGACCTGCTGGGGCGGCCAGGTGGGACTGAACCAGGACCAGCCCTTTTTAGTAACTTGCTGACATATGTACATGTGTTCCTAAACCTCACTGTCTTCTATTAATGGTACTAGGTATCTTTGTATTGATTTAGTGTGGGAGAACATCCTTAAATAACAGTAGTTTCAGTCTCCTCTGTTAATCAAATATCTCAGCAGCAATTTCAGGGACTTACAGAGTGCCATCAGTTTCAGAAAAAAGTCTAGCAAACTTTTTTTTTTTATGTTACCATTTCAAATATTTCCAATTCCAAATGTATTTATTTCATAGTAGAGTACAAATTACACAAATCTTAGACGCTAAAAGAGAAACAACACAGAACATACAACATGAAACCTCCCCAATGCTTTTTACTCAAAATCTTCAAAATATCTCCTGAAAAGCTCCAAATGTGAAGAAACAGTTTTCTCAGAAAAAGCAGGCGTTAAAGTGTTTTGCACTGGGAATCTTCTGGATTCATTGCAATGGTTCACACACTCACTAGAAATAATAAGAAAAACAAGATTATGTTCCTCTAGCCCTTCCTGTTCCAAAGACTTCCCTTGATACATATGTATACACACGTGTATATATGTGTGTGTGCGTGCATGTTTGTACTTGCTCTTTTTTTTTTGTGTTGATTTATCTTTCTGTGTTACTTGAGAGAAACAAAGATACCAAATCAGCTCAGGTGATGAGGACAGGGCTCTTTGGTGTACCAATAAAAACTAAATCAGGAACCAGACAGTGAAATATTTAGCTAGCAATTTTTCAGAGCAGGTAAGTATTTAATTGTTGATATAATCCCAGGAAGCAGGCTCTAATGATCATATTATCCTTTAATTATCACAAGAGTTCAACAGTCAAACAATTATCTTTTCATTTCCTCACTAAGAGCTAAGTACCTCACAAGATGTTAAAACAAAATTTTTTCTAGAACTGGGAAATCTAACCAGAGGCTTTACTTGCAATTTGCTGTTTATTGTATAAATATATATATAGTAGCCTTAAAAGAATAAACCTCATGGCTAACACTGGGAATATTTCTCTGCAGTTAAGAAGCCAATGCTTATTGGTAAAGTAGCTTCTTTTCTAAACTGTGCTGAAGGATGTAGAAGAACAGTTTTAACAGAGAAAGGTGTGGTGTCCGCGCACAGTTGGCATCTGCTCAAATGTCAGTGTCTGGTCCATATTCACCTGTCTCTGACAATACACATAGGGTACCACAAGTAAAGGAAAAAGATGCGCTCAGAAATGCGATGGGGTTTTTGAACAATGAAGGCTAATGTATTAAAAATAATACATTTGGAAAATGACAATTGAGGAAATTCAATAGTATGTCTGTAAACCTTTTTACTGAACTTAAGAGTATGTCATTAATAAAATGCATAAAATTAAAAAAAGAATTTCCTTAAATGAATTGCTTTTGGAGACGTCTTAGGAAGCATTATTTTGACAATGTTAATTGTTGTCTTTTTCTTTTTTGATAAATGGATTATGCAAAATTAATTCCCTCGCTATGTAGATTTAATCCACAACACAGGACCACTGTCAGAATTTTAAAGTATTTTGAGTTTTCTAATGAATAGATACAAAAAAGCCATACTCAATTAATTTATTAGTTTGAAATTTGAAATTATAAGTCAGTCACTGTCTTTATCTACAGTTTCCTGCATTTGACCAAATCCTACTGTATGAATGCCCAGAGAAAATCATTATAGGATATTTTTGAAGACAAAGTTTTATCATAATATTCCAAAACGTTGAATAACTCCTCTTCAGTTAGGTTGATGCTGTACTCATGAAGGACCTACAAAAGATAGAGACAACTTTAAAACTTAAACCAGTACTTTGGGTGAGCAAGAAGTAAAAACATTAGTTTATCTTGCTATAATTTCTTTACAAAGTAACTTGATGATTCAGCTTCGCTCTGTCTTAGGTTTCTCAGAATATTAGAAAATCAAACCTTCCTTTATTATCTCCTACTCTTCCCGTGCCAATGCTGGCTCCCTGGGACGCGTATCTGAAAACCTGCACATGCAGGAGTTTTGTCTGGTAGCCTAACTAGCCCTTGCCTGAGGGAGCATTGGGAAATGGGTAGCACCCATGTGCACAGAAGCTAATTTACAAAAAGCACATGTTTAAAAGGCTTTCACTATAATCTGGAGATGAGATGAAGAGGTGGAATATCTTCCTTTCTAGCCTTCTTGGATGATCTGCAGGCTTTGCATCTGGAGAAATAGAAGGAATAATCCAGTCATGCAAACTATGCAAACCCCTGTGTATATAATAATGCCCATGATGTGCTCTGTGCTTTTAATTTCCATAGGACAAATGCTCAGCCTGTAAGCATGCCTTCCTAATGCTTCAGTGAGAACCCAACTTGAACAGGACACATCTGGTTCACCTGATGCTAAAAGCCAGGTTAGATACCTACATCTTTCAAATATTTCACCTGCTGCATTTTTTCAGCACTTCAACAGTTTTAAATGTTCTCAATGCCCTAACATAAAAGAAAATAATGCATTAATTTCTGAGGATTACTTCTGGTTTTGGATGCACTTGGGAATTTAAACTCTGAAGGTGACCAGAAACATGGTGTGTCCTTGTGTGCTATGCCAGGTGTCGTTAGTTTTCTGGCAAACTCAGATTAGTCTTCCCCTGTCCCTCTTAAAGGCTCAGCATCAGAAATCGCTAATGACCCCTTGCAGACAGTACAGCCATAAATAGCAGTGTTACTGAAGTTAGCAGAGAGCTAATTTCCCCCGTTTCAGTAAATTAAGTTACCTAGGAGATAAAGGGATCTGTACCTCCACAAATCACTTGATAACTTGTCAAACAGCAGATTAACACCTTTGTAGCAGAATTTTTGAATTGGGATTTTTTTCTTGATCTAGATCCACGAGGAGTTAGTTTTTTGGTCGTAGGTTTGTTGTTGTTGGCTTTTTGTTTATTTTTTATATCATGTTAGGAAGCTTGATTTGAAAATGGTTGACATTGCTTTAACTATAAGTGGTAATCATTGTATGTCCTAGAGGAATATGACAAATTAAAATAAAACACAAAGGAGCCTGATCTTCAGTCCTCCTTCCCCCGAGCCTGGTCTGCCGAGGCAGTGCCTGAGCGGTCAGAAAGCTGCAGAGGTAGACAGGGAGCCTGGGGTGTGAAGCTGATACCACCACATGGATACATCTTGCTCCTCTGCTGTCCTAGAGGAGCAGGCAGGGACTTTGGTTTCAGCTTTGTGGCAGTGCCAGAACATAGCACATTCCCACCAGTCCTAAAGAAGTAAAGATTTAAAAGACCACTTCTGTGACTGGTATAATTGAGCAGGTTTATAGTCTACCAGGTGACAAGCTGGCTTCCTGCAGCTCCAGGGGAAAGGGAGCGTCAGAAGCACACCTTATCACCGCTTACTGCAGCCAAGCAGTTGCTTGCTGTGACCGAGCATCCCATCCACTGGTTAATCGGTTCTTTGAAGCAGCAGCGATACCAAGGGGTGTCCTAATGCATACAGCATTAAATGCATTTAGGCTCCCCACACTATTTTTTTTTTCTGGCAGTTGAATAGCAAATATGCTGAATTACTGCAGAATAGATAGTGTTTATTATTCTTAGTTAAAACAATATCAAACATTTTGAAACCAGTACAGCTAAGCAAAAATCAAAGTCCCTGTGGGTCTAGATGAAGAATCACTGATACCCAGAATACACATGTGTGTATTTGAGGAGATACAAGGTACTATAATATTTGCAGAGGATATGGATCCCTTGGCTAGTACAAAACTATGCTGCACGCAGAAAAGCAGAGAGAGAAACCAGAGACAGAGACTCTCGAGTGGGGATTGCTTGAGCCCATTCCACATTTGGAAGGGACCACGCCAGTTGGAGGGTCACAGGATCTGGCAGCTGTAGCAGTGCCTGAAGGGAGACCTACCAGAAGGTACGCTTCTATTCCCTTCCCACATCTTTGTGAAAGATGCACATTTAAACTTTGTAGAGGGGCTAAGGTTTTTGTCCATTTTATCTATTCAGGACCCCACCAAGACTTCAGACCTCTAGGAAGCATAATCACATGTGGAGAAAGATTACTGTGAGTAATGGTCAGAGCTGAAGTCACAAAGAAGGGCCAGGATGAGTTTATGCATTCTGGTTTAGTACCATTCTTCAGAAAAATTTCAGTCAGGAAGCTCAGCTTAGACTACTGTAATTTTCTGACTATTAATTGCTAAATGCAACTTAACTTACTTGTCTGAAATCTGCAATATCTAACAATCCAGTATGACTCTCATCATAGGATTTAAAAGTTTGCTTCATTGGTCTCCAGCAGTGCAAGATCCGGGGCTGAATCCTCAGCATCGTGCTGAAGAACAACGGGGTTTGTGGTCCAGGACTCATCTAACAAAGTTGGATGAGAAAGACACACATTTACTAATGTCATCATGAACACAACTGGGTGCTACTAAAATGCAGAATGAAAAGGTGCTGGACTGTAATGCTGCCTTACTCTGCAACTGGCTGCTGAATACTTGTTTACAAATTACTGCAAGATACTGTTTACACAAGACTATTTTAACCTATAACATTTTGATATTCTTGGGAAGTGCAGATGGTATATTTACTTAATCACTGTCGAAGCCCTAACTTTTTATTATTTGAAACTAATTCTGAAGTCAGTGTTACTTCTGCTCTGATCTCAGTGTTTTCACATGTATTATGCTTGTCCTTGTTTCAACTCCCTCTTTCAGTCATTTTTAATTCTCTGCAGTGTTCATTTTTCAGAGTGAAATTTTTGCTTAAAAGTGACTGAATGCATAAACCAACTGTGGGAGCAGTACGGTATTTAAGAAAAAACAAAACTCTACTGTATGCTTTCCCAAGTACCTAAAATACCTTGTAAGCAGCTTTTGAACCTTTCTGCAGTTCCACAGCTGGACCATAGGGTTCATTTTCCTTGGGACATGTTGTGGCCTCTTGTTTTAGCCTGGCTAAACTTGTTACATTGGTCTACCCTGAACACGTGAACTGCAGAACTATTCATTAAGGCAAAATAAATTCCAGTTGTCCAAAGCTCTAACACTGGAGCAATGAGTAAGGGACTTCTTTGGGAAAGGTCAGCAAGCCCCAACCCACTTGTAGGGTCTGGATCTGCTCTACTATTTTCTTAAAAATACAGCTCCATCTCAGCTTCCCCCTACACTCTCCTGGTATTTATTATCGTAATTGGGTAAGTCTACAGTGCCCCGTTTGTGCCAGGCGTCCCTACAAACATCTCCTTGTGAAGGAAATGCATGGTTGGCTCCGTACATCTACTATGTGGACATAGAGGCCATGCTGCACCTACACGAGTTGTAAGAGGCCTGGGGGGCAGCTGCACCTTCTTTCTGTGCTCTTGGGGTATTCTTCCTTCAGACTATGTAGCTGAGGAATGAGTGGGTACGTGAATAATGCAGTTTCCAACCCAAAGTACTGAGTATCCTTGTGGGCTGAAGGCAGGGAAAGGGCACTTTACAATGATTTCAACTTGGTTTATTTTCATAGCTCAGTGCCTGGATGCTTCCACGAAGCCCTAGGCCCTGGATTCTCTCAGGCTTTTGAGAAAGAGAAGGAATTGTGCCTGCCACCAAAAAAAAAAAAAAAAAAAAGGTTTTTTTTGGGTTTTTTATTATTCCTTTTGATATGTATCGGTACACTTGCTAGATGAAATGGGCTGAGCAATCTATGAGGAAATTTCACTTTGAATATTACATTACATAAAAGTCCTCAGAACATGAACTGAAACCTTCATTATTTTTTCTGAATAGAATAAATAAAATAAAAATCATTTGAGACGACTACATAGGCACTTAAAAATTACTGCTTTATCCACTCCAGACTACAGGGATAGAATTTTACAGCATCAAATTTGTGTATAAAAGAAACCTTATGTAAGATAATGAAGTTCTTTGATGCAAAACTTAATAGTTTTACCTTACTCTCCCTACTGGTAGTGAATACTTGATAATTCCTAATGATACTCTCTTCGTACCTTGGTGGCAATCTGTTCGTTCCACATCTGAAAACAGTTCGGTAATGTAATTTCTCTATAAAATGCTGCTACTAACCATATCTAAACTAATTAGGCACAGTCAGAAACAGCCTAAAAATGTAGCAGGCTCGCTGAATGAGCAGATTTGGAATTTGGCACTGTTCCTACTACATAACTTGATTGGGATGCTATTACCGATGCCTTCCTTTTTGGGCCAGGAGAGCCAGATTTCTGTGTCTCTTCTGATCTTTTCTGCCCTAGAGCGGTACTGTGGGCAGAGGGGAACAGCCTGGGTGCAGCTGCCTTGCTGGGGCTCTCTGGCCTCCTCATCGCAGCTGGGGAAGCAGATATGTGCAGCAGGGAGATCTGCAAGGGCACAATGTGTGCTGACCGGTTTTGGCTACTAGGTGTTTTAAGCGACCACTAACAGCAGTGTTAAGTGAGAGCTTCCTCTGGGCTTTTTGTGTGGTGCTGGGCGTGGGGCAGAGGCACAGCTTGCTGACAAGATCTCTAGCCAGGGCCGTCCTATGACACATCCCATGCGCTTTTTATTTCTAGCTTGATTTTTATTTAGTTCAACAAAAGCTCTTAAATCATCCTGCGTTAAAGCTCCTGTGTTTTCTATTCGGAATTATTATCCGGATTTTAGCAGTAGCCCATTTACTATATAACCTGGATACATAGAACATGATCTCAAGGAGTTAAATCCTGCAACTGAAGGAGATACAAAATGAATACAGGTGATTAATATCATATGATTAAATAAAAGAATACTGGAAAATCCCTGCATAAAGTGACTATAGAAACAGGCCATGAAATATCCTGTCAGTACAACAGAAACTGAAAAAAAAAAAAATGTCATTCTGATTTTTATAAGCTTTGTGCGTACCAGGTTTTGTGGCTTCTGTATAATTACCCTCTGTAGCAGTGAGCTTTCCTGTGGTTTTAACAACAAGATACAGTTCTGAAGGAAGTCATAGTATGCAAATCTTCTATTTTTCTTTAAATCATATTTTGTTGTTATTTGGTTAATTTCCCCTTCACTTAAATCCGAATTGAACTTCTCTGCTATATCTGAAATGCAAAGAAAGAGTATTCATCTTGTCATGCTTAAAAATAGCCAATCATTGTCCTGTGTTCACAAGTTTTAGCAGGGCTATATTGACAGGTCATCAGTTGCAGCGACTGCTGCCTAAGTGTGTTATGCAGATCTTGCTATATGCAGGTATATGCATATGCCTATACTTATGGGGTGGCAGTTCACATTTTACAGGGTTTCAGGGGACTGATAACATGTCATTTTGATTTTAAATGCACAAGAAGTACTCTTTGACATTAACTGATATAAAAGATCTGATAAGCTAACATGTTCTTATAGCCAGGACTTTACATTTAATTATACAGGTGTGCACTGTCTTATCACACATGCAAATGTCCTAACAAAGGCACAGAAAATCCTCTCTCTAGAAGAGAACACAACAGAACAGCAGCATAGCTCCGCTCTTTTAAGAGTAAAATCCAGGGTACTTTCACATCAACAGCCATCAAGACCAGTGGAACCAGAAGCACACACAAGGAAAAGACTGGTAAATCTATTTATTCAAATACCCCTGGGTATGGAAAGGGCAGTGTGTTGGGAAGGTGATGAGAAACTTGTACATGTGCCATGAGTACCCACAAACAAAGCCACGCGCTCCTTTTCCAAGGAGCAGCTAATTCTGAACAGAGACGTGAATGTATTGCCCCCAAGGCTACTGTAAGCTATTCTGCTCTGCAGTGGTAGGGTGGTACCTGGTGCAATCATGCAGGGAATGCCACTTACTAGAGGCCAGATGTTCCTATGGCTGGGACACCAGAAAGAAAACTGAATGCATCTGTTGAATAAAGCACTTTTCAGATGGTTACAAACCTAGGAAGTCTGACACTGGGATTTCTCCTAGCTTGCCGACATCCTTCTCTTTGCACGCTTTTAGTATGCCTCTCCATGTATGTTGGATGTTCTTTCTTATCTTATTTTCTATTGTTTCACAGTTAAGGACAGGTGCAGAACAAGTTGCTGTTGTCCGAGGATGTCTGGATGCTGGTATCTAAAAGCAAGAGATAATGGTAATTTTTTTTCTATCAAGTTTTACCGATTGTGTAGACAAACCACCGATGGCAAATCCAGTTTCTGGTCTTCCAGACATGAGATTAATGTACCATTTGAGCCACTTCTAAGTCTAATTTGAATTGTGTCTGCAAAACTGTAGGCAAAAATGTGAGAACATTCTTAGTGTCAAAACGACACTATTCATTTGATGGGCCTTGACCATTTTTTCTTAATTTGGCTTAACCTGTGAATCATTTATAGTTTCTCCAAACTGTTTCTTATTAAACAACAGATACCGTGTTCAAAAAAAGCAATGTATAACAATCTTAGACCAAACACAAACCAGTGCAAAGGCACTGAACTACAAAATAACATTGCTTTGATTTGTTACTGAGAGGACTCAGGTCTGCAGTGGTCCTATGCAGAGCCACAAAAGGAATTACATGAGAGGATCCCAGAGCTCAGTGTCTTTTTGATTGCTGCCTCAGCAGTTCCGTGGGTGAGCTGGAACCAAAGCCTCAGCCTACCGCTGTATGATCTGTATGATACGTGCACGAGTGGTATTTATGCTTCTAGATCCAACGTATAATCTCATATCTAGTGAGACGTCCCAGTATTATCTTGAGAGTCTCGCTGGTGCAGACTTGCTGAGGCCTCAAGTATTTGCATGCAATGAATGCTGCAGGATGATTCATCCTGGTCGGTGTTCAGGCTGGCTGAGGTCTTTCCAACAGCCATAAGTTTGGAGAGATTTAAGTTCCCTTCCTACTGTCTTATACTGCCCAATCTAGCATTCACAGACAGTAATGAGGAATTTTCCCTTGCTTTCTCTGGGAAAGGGATCAAAGCACAAAGGATGCATGTAGCTAATTGTCTGGGCTTATCAAGAAAGAACCTATAGTTCATGCAATAATCGAGCTAACGATGGGCCAATGTTTAGATTTACCAGCCCTGACAAGTTGTTTGCATCTTTAATTTGCTCAATCTGTTATTTCTTTTTCAGTAGCTAAACATCTTCATGTAGAAGTAGTCAGAAAATCCAAGCATGTTCCAGGCACTGAATAATTCTAAATATTTTATTTTTTGTTGTAGGTTTGGTTGTAGCCAAAGAACGTAGAATAGGTAGGTGCAGCTCCACAAGGGTGATATATAATTTTTCTGTCTGTTATGCTTTCCCCACCTTTCTGTGAATTCTACCTCCAGCATAAGAGGCCAGCATGGCAGTGGAGAGGACCAAAGTGTATTATTGACATGAGGTATAGGTATGGATGCAGAAGTGAAGCAAAGCTACTGCATTCCTAATCTACTTCTCTTACCTCTCTCAGATCACTGGCCTTCACGGCAAGTCTATCAGTCAGACTATCGGGCATTAACAGCTGTAATTTGGCATCCACCAGAAAGCAGACAAGACCACCAGAATGTTTTTGGACAGGCCAATAAAGTCCTCTTGGAAAATTGCAACTGCCAATCCTGCCTCGCTTTGGCAGATGACCAGATATAAGCTGTCTATATTTTTTATGCTGCTTTTGCAGCTATTGAGCTTTTGTAATTTGGGCTGTTTACTTTGTTCTCGGAAATCTGATTGTGCTTAAACATAGAAATTTTATTTGCCATACAGCTCTGACAGATGCGTGTAAGGTAAAAGCTGAGAATGCTATTGGTATAAATTGACATATATCCTTTGACTTCAGTGGAGTTAGTCTCTGGCCCAATTTTTGTTATTGTAACAGAGTTTTATAAGTTACCTCATTTGAATGGTGGTTGTGCCTGATTTCATTGGCAATGAATAGAATACCTTCACCGAGTTCCACAGGTGGTGTTTTCAGCCTATGGACAAAAAAGAAAATCCAGAGAGTTCATAGAACAACCACACTTACGCTCTTTTGCACTTGTAGAGAAGATGATGTCTTGGGACGTTCAAGATGAGAACAGACACGTGGCTTCTGCACAGCACAGGTAGCTGGCTTGGTAGAAGTTGCAGAACCAGTTACACTGGGAGCGCTTGGTGGCATCATTACAAGTTTGGGACTGAACCTCTTCAAAACGTCCTGATACTTCAACCGTCCACTAGCACTGACATCCATTGTGTTCCAAAGATTGTCAGACTAAGGAAGAAACAGAAGATGACTTTTTAAATGCTAGTTTTAAAAAAACAGAATCCCCTTATGGACTAAAGATATGACAAAACGTATCAAAAATAAAGGGAGAGGATGACTTGGAATAGGATTCCTAGGACCCATCTTATTAAAAAAAATAATCACAGCTTCTCTGCAGAAGTGTGCACAAGGCTGGGAAAACAATGAAAGAAGGATTTCTGCAGGACATTTTTTAATTGAATTGGGCCCTTAGTGTGCTGTTTAAACTACTAAACCCTGTGATTAGACACAGTGATTGAGCTGCAGTATAGAAGAATAACGCTTTAACATGAGATGTAAATCAAATACATGGTGCACCTGTATCCTGGCTAAGTACCATTGAGGCAAATTTCTCATGCTATCAGGTGCACCTAAGTTATACCACCATCTCAAGAGGCCATTAAGGTTCCTCAGTTATTGTATTTGCATCAACAAATTATTTCACCCTGAGGGCAAAAATGAATCAGCACAAAAGAACATAGCAGGAAATCTTACCTTTACAGCCTTTAGAATCACATATAGTTACGATATGTGGCCAGGAACCGTACCTCTACAATTCAGCCAGCCTACGGAAGACCTGGGTGCAGCTGCTGATACCCTTGCTCCTGCCCATGGAGGTCCGTGTGGCTGTTTGGCCTGACACAGGGCAGGTAGCCCACCCTCTGGGCTACGTATGGAATTGTAATGATGAGGCTGGGCTGATTTCCCACTGAACAGCACTTTATTCAGTAAGTAGCTGCACTGAATTAAATGGGACTACTCATGATATAAGCTACTAATCAAAGCAAGAATTATCACAGCCTGCCCTTAAATGAGCTGCACTCATTTTGCGAGTGTTTAAAGAGTCATCAGTATGCCTTTTTTAGGGTCTTCATTATTGATTTTTAATATAAATCTAATTGGAAACCTCAGATTGCTTTTGATTTGATCTTTTTCGGCAGAGACTTAAACCCTAAAGGAAACTAGTCACCTCTTTGATGCATGTGCCAAGTTGCAGTCAAACTTCAAAGGGCAAAGGATACATTTCGAATTTCCTTTCAACTTTCCCCCATTGGCCTAGCTGCTACCACATTATGAATTATAAACAATTCTATTTTGCGCTTGCGATTATGCTTCACACTTCATACAAGGATCTCAAAGTGTATTACAAACTTCAATTAAATAGAACAATACCCTGATGAGCTGGGTTAGCTATAGTTAGAAACTATTTCAACACCCAACGAAGTGTAGCCACTTGGGGGATTGCAGATAGTTCAAGCAAGTCAAGGGAGTTCAAGCAGAGAGGAGAAAAGCGCCTGTGATAAAAGGAGGCATGTCAGTCGGCAAGATATTAATCAACACCTTGCTTGCAGCATGTTTACCATCCTTAGCCTTTTATGAAAAAGGTCACAGCATCAGGAATTCAGAAGACCAAGAAGCCAAACTTCAGGCAGAAATTCTTCATCTACTACTCGATACAGATTCCAGCTGAGCCTTGCTAATAGCAAACAGTAAGTGGCCATCATCCAGAAAAGGATAAAAGAAGACATTTTCTGTGAAGTCATCCAGACTATGACTATTAGTAACACTTCTGTAACAACTCTGAGCCATGACAACAGCCTGAACGACAGGGGTTTGGATTAGCAGTGGCAAACCCTGTACCCAGATTGGAAGGCTCTCCTGGGGCATCTTCATATAGATATACGTAGGCATTTCTTTGAGAGGCCTGTCAAAATCAAAATATCTCTGGAGATACAGGGTTTGAGTCTCACTCACACAGAAGCTGCTGCTTATATAAATGAGGCTCCTCAGGCCTGCTTCTCCTTCCTATTATGGATGACAGTTTCTATCAAGAGTTTTTTTTCCTTCACTTGTCTGAGATTCTTTTAAGTATAAAACAGCTCCTGTGTCCCTTCGTTGCTTCTTGAGTGTAAAGTAGACAGGATCTAGTCTGGAGGACTCTTCAGCTGGAGATGCTTCCCTGACTGCTTCCGAAAAAAGAAAAAAGAGATTTTTTTTTTTTTTTTTCTCACACCTCAGGAAGGTGTGCATTCTCCTGCCTTGGCCAGGGCTCAGCCGCAAGCTCACCCTGGCGCTTCTGCTCAGCGGTTCACAGGGATGAGGAGAGTATCACCATGTTTTCACTTCTGCTTTCACCTGGTGTTGAGGCTCCAGGTTCAGATCTGGCACTTGCACTTTATACCTCACCAGAAGTGTGAGTACTAGGAATAAAGCACGCAGGCCGTTTGGGGTTTTTTTCTGCTATTTTCAAGGGGGAAGTAGAAAATGTTTTTATTTTTTTTTCAGTGCTTTCATCTGCAATATCACACATGCATAGCAGTGCCCGATAACATGGCAGACTCTGCAATCTCTTTGCTGTAATTACAAGCAGGCCCCACTCCTGTCTGCAATTTATAGTAAAAAATGCTGGTGGGAAGTACAGGGCCAAGAAATCAGGGGATATGTCTGATTGAGCAAAGTACTGAAATAATTTTCTGTAGTGCAGACATGCATACAAGTTTGGAGGCTCTGTGTCTTGTGTTTCAGCTTGCTGCCAAATGCCATTGATGCAACCATGAGCATGAAGGTTAGAGTGCTGTTAAGTAAAATCTGAAATCTTTTAGTCAAAGTTCCCTCTGTTTTGTTATTCACCTAGTCTTTGGGCTAGTAAAAGTCACATTGAACCAGCATTAGCAAAGATTAAAAAAAAAGGCTCTTTTAATTTTAAGTTCAGCAGAAGCAGAATCGTATGAAAGACTGGCCTCCCAGGTTCCCCTGAGATTAGCACTGGGGTGATCGGATGGTTTGTACTGCTAGATTCATGCCATGACTTCAGTCACTCAGGCTAAATTCAAGGTTACATAAACTCTGCTGACACTAATCTGGGGGAATCTTTAACCCAGAAAAGTAGCTGAGAGGTGGCCGGGAAATGTCAAATGCTTGCCCCTTTCTTTGTCCAAGGAGGGCAGGACAAAACAGCTACCAAGAAAAAGGAATTTGCATTAGCTCCCCATGGAAGTACTTTTTATTCCATGCTGAGAAGGCTTTTTTCCCCATCAACTGGAAGTGGATTAACTTAAAACTGAAAAAAGAAACTTTTAAAATAGCAACTACACAGATAAAGAGCTAGTGAAAGAGAACTACTGTGCTTTAAATTCACACCTTCGCTATTAGCAATAGCATCTCCGTGACTTTGCCTTAGAAAGCCTGCGATTATTATAGTTCATAACCATACTCAGAGATAAGGAAAAAAATAATCTCCCACAAATGTAGCAACAAATGTTCATGGAAAGATAGTCTTAAAACATTTTCGTGTCATCCAAATTTTTAAACTACTTGCCTATACACGACAGTATGCAAACACATGTCTCTAGCCATAGCCAATTTACCCAATTGTACACTTAAACTAACAAGCAAAATAATATAGTTTTCTTACTTGTTCTTCAGTCAGCCGCTGAAAATGTTGGTTACATATATCCCAGAACTCCTCTTTTGATATAGTATTATCTTTTGAAGAGTCAATATCTTTAAACTCTTGTGCAATTGTGTTAAAGCCAGCAGTCACTCCTTCTTGTATCTGTGAGAGGATGCTTCTCTCTGACAGTTCCCAAGAAGATTTAGGCGGAATGACTTTTTGCCCTTCCTCAGTCTAGACAAAAACCATACACAGAGAATCAGTAATGGATCCACTGAATAAATTATAAATCGCGGTGTGGCATTCAGCCAGTCGAAGAGGGAAACGTCCGTGGAGAAGGCGGCCTTCGAGATCCCGCAGGCAGTAAAACCTGCTTCCAGGAATTCTGGCTTGCACCACAAAAGAGAAAAGCGACTATGCAAGTAGTTAAGGGGAAAAAATAGACTCTCTATAAATGTGATCCAACTGGTGACAGGCCAACAAAAGCACAGGATTCCAAGACTGACCTAAACTTTTACAAAGGTCTAAAAAATTGGGTGATCTTACAAAGAGGGCTATTCTGTTAATGCAGAAAAAAGGGAAGTGAGAGCTAACTAGCCCAAATATCCCAAACGTATTCTTCTCATCTGAATAGTCTTTAGCAAGCAGTGGAAATCTCTTTGACTGAAAAGGCACTTCAGTCCTGTGATGAAAGAGAGGGCAATTATTTCCCTTTCCTTTCTAAATTCCAGGTATATTTATGGCGGTACTTTTTAATCTGGTCATCCACAGCAGGGATACTGCAGCTAAACGATGCAGTTGAAGGCTGCAAAGGTACAGAATGTATGAGGGGAAGGCAGAGAAGGGGTTGTGTTAATGCTAACACAAGATGTGCACACCCCCCCCCCCTTTTTTTTTTTCCCAGTGTGTTGCTTTCCAATCTAATACCGGTGTATGGCTTTTAAAATGTAGTACTGGAGCTTATTACTGACTAAACTCCCATTAGGCATTCTGCGGGGTGGAAATCCACTCTTTGGGTAAATACAGTGGAAGGTCATATAGCAAGCAGAAATAAAAAGGACGACATACAGTTGGGTGGAATAAACTGCAGAGTAGAGTAAAGCACTGCTAGGCTTTGGTAGGGACATACTTGAGAATGCCAAAGGTCTAACTGCGCATGCAAAAGGCTACATTTCATAACGTTAAATATCAATGAAATCTATTCAGTGTTTACATTCTACCTCCAGAATTAGCAGTAAACTTCAGGTTTTTAAAATGAAGCCAAGTTTTACTTATAAAATTAGCCTCAGGAATGGCACAACGTGGAATAATAATAATAATGAAAAAGCAATACTAGAATTTTGAAGAAGAAACAACTTATTTTCAGGAATGGAAGCCAACTTTCCACCCACTGCACTGTCTAAACTAAATATGTAAAATACCTTGAAAGCAAAGTTTTCAGAAACACAAGGGGCAGCCAGTTTTACTATGGTTGTGGTAAGAGGTCCTGGTAAAAACAAAAAAAAATAATCTGTTTTTGGTTCAAAGACATTTCTTTACAGCATGTTAAATGTCACTATCATATTTTATACCCCCATGTTTAAGTATATAAGCTTTGCCACCTTCTTGCTCCATGCAATATGAAATACCGAAAAAGAAACAGATGGCTTTTGGTCCTGCGCTCCTGTTTCCTTGTCACGTCTCACATGATCATTATAACTGGATGGAAAAGAAAATATGTTTCTTACAGAACTGCAAGAAACCTGCCTCCTAATCAGAAAAGACTCTACTAAATGCAAGTAAGACTTTTCAATATTAACCATGCTTTACATGAAACATACATGCAGGACAGGCATTATGGCTGCGTTCTTATTAAGAGAAGAAACACGAGAAGTGGAATTGTGCATGCAGATGCAGAAGTCAGGCTGTGCCATAGTCAGGAAATGAAGATTGCCGGGCATGGCCCAGCACGGGGCACACCTTCTGCCTGCCTGCCATTACTGCAACTAAAACACACTGTACTGCTGCTTTTAATTATTTTAATGAAGCCAAAGACTTAGGGAAAGCGTTACTGCCCTGCAATCTTTTAAAGAAACATATTTTGTAAGTGCAAGCTTTCCTAATTTATTTAATTTCATGAGCTTTTTATTTCATAAGACCTAATGAACTTTGATCTTAAAATGGTTAGAGAGCCAATAAAAACACAAATCACTTGTTCTTCTTGCAAACCACAGATTGAAAACTAGAAAACCTATTCAGTTATTGCATTACATTCGTCTACCACATGCAGTTAGTACATTCAGCGTATATCTATGACTGTATCATCCACAGCTAAAATAATCACCCTTAGCTGAAATAATAGATCTGGAGCCTAAAATTGCAGACTCTGGACTGGGCATCTGGACATTTACATGCCATTTCTGCAATTTGGAAGCTTATACCCAGCGTGGGCACATTTCTTAGCTTTGCTGTGTCTGACTTTAATCTCCCAAGTGAAAGGGAGCAACAGGAAAGAAGCTGCCTCAGAGCTGCGCAGCGTATGCCCCAGCAGTGCTTAGAGACCATTAATAGAAGAGTTTCTGTTGGATAGCAGAGGGGTTACTTCTCTTTTAGTGATTTCCTGATATTCGCTGCCATGTGCTCCACTGGTCCCATCAAGCTCTGTATGTACATCACTTCAGAATTCAGGGGCCAGGACTCTGCTCATGCTGCGTAGCTTCTCAGACTACCGCGTGGCCTCTGAGCAGTACCTGCCCCACACCATGGCCAAACGCCAGCTGCCACTGTAGGCTGTGAAGTCCAGATTACCTGACTGTCCTGCTCAGCTCTTCACAGGCTTTTTCGCCTTTCCTAACGGAATTTGAGAGTGCCTTGGGAGGACCATGTAAATCCACTTTCACCTCCTGCTTTCACCAAGAGAGGGGAGGCATTATTACGAGGCTTTTCTTATGGGCCACCCGATGTAGCTCGCTTGCTGTTCAAAGCAGGGCTGTGTTTTTCTTCTTTAGAAAGTTCCTTGCACAGCCTCATGTCCTTTTCTATAAATGGCATAACTATGCTGATTAGTAATAAAAGAAGGCTCCACCACCCACACCTGCTCAGTGAAGCTCTATTCCTGCAGCTCCTTCCTGTTTCTGGAAGATTTTTCGATTAAGAGGAATTCTTAATTAGAAAGAAAATCGGTACATCAAGATAAATTCAATTTCTCTGGTCCTGTTCCCTGCCTTATCACAAGTCTGACCTCCCTCCCTTTCTGTTGGGAAACAGCTTACACAAGACGACCCTTATATCTTCCCCTGAAAAAGGATGCATTTTCCTCTTTGTATGAATGACCTTTGCCAGAAGTAATCATCCTTTTGACAGTTTACACATTTTTAGAGGCTTCTGTGCTTGGCCCACGGGCCCTCCTTTACCCTAACAACACGTATCTTCAAGTTGTTTTCCATAAATGCTCTTCCCTAAAGATACATGGAAGCAGCAGAGTTAGTTGCCTCAGCGTGGATTGGGGTGAAAATGCATTTTCTTCTCATGGTCAGATAGCCAATAATTCATCAGCCAGCCTCTTCTAGCTCTCAGAGTCTCAGCACTATACAGAACCTTGTATTTTATCCCTGGGTTACAAGTAGAGCTGTATCCTCATCTGGCAGTGATCAGTCTAGCTCCATTAACCTGAGTGCTGATTTACGCCTGCTGAGGATTTGATAGCTGGTGTGCAAAAGGAGCTTGCAATAATAAGCCCAATTATAAATAAAAGATGAAAATTCCATTGAGGGTCATTCTGTAATGTACCGTTTTCCTTTTGACCAAGTGTTTGCAGCAGACAGATTCAAGTTTTGAGGTCACATTTGCAGGATAAAATACTCTTGGTAGTGTTTAGAATATGTAATGGTATACGATAGTTTGCCAAAATGATTTGACACAATGAGTCAAAGGTGGCCCACATGCCAATATCTCCTTGTCTAGAAAAAAGCCACATTCCTCTAAATGTAATTAAAATAACTATTGTATTAGATAACTATGAAATATTAAGCCTAGGTAGAACTGGGTAAAGAAGCAGGAGCCACAGCGAGGCTTCCCTGCTCTTCTGTCTCCCCAGCAGCGTCTAGTTCATCAGCGGTACGCCTGATGGTCTGATACTATGTCCCCTACTTTTCATTATCCCTACTTTCTCCTTTTCCTCTACTCATAGTAAATATAGAGTGAAAGACTTTCATCCCAAGGAACAATTTGCCATTTTAAAATTCCATTAGACTCTTCATTACTCAGAACAGAGAAGGAAAAGGAGGTACGGCTTTGGCAGGCTTCTCAATGGGGAATCTGTCCCAAAACAGATATCCTGGCACAATGAGCGACAGTGCATTGTAGTGATGGGGAGGGTACCGCACAGGAGACCAGGGGCAAGGAAAGGGCATTTTCAGTATGGATAAAGAGAAACATGAAGTTAGATCATGGTGTAAGGAAAGCTTTAACGTTTCTCAGCATGAAGCAGATGTAATACTGGAAAACAGATGCAAACATGCAGGTATCCCAGAAGGGGTATTTCCCTGGAGCACAGCTGTTCTACACGAGGACAAAGTTTGTGGTGCTGCTGGCTGAAGGTAGGGACATAATCAGCAAGCCTGCTGATCTCTGCTGCTGGTGCAATGGATCATGACTGATGACAGAGTTGTCTGATCAGATCAGGGGTCCAGAACAGGAGGGCCCAGAGATTCAACAGATGAGGACAGTGAGTAATGAATAAACCTGTAAAACTCCCACTCCCGAGACAGGGAAGAGCACCACCTCTGTAGAGCAGGTCCTTAGGTATTCCTG